ATATATATACACTTATGGATATAGGACAGAGTTTGATGAAGAATGCTAGTGAGCGACCGCCTATGCTCCTCCATGAGGGGGGTAACAGGCATAAGTAAGTAGGTAGGTATGCATATATTTGTAATATTTAACAAGGGAATAATAATAAATAGATATTCATAAATACATATACATACAAGACATGATTATATATTTGGAAACATTGAGATATATATATATATATATATATGACTATTTTATTCTACTCCATTTCTCTACTCAGATTTACAAATACATACTGGAAAGAAACAACAAGTTGAAGTATTTAGTTTAAAATAATGAAGAAGGAAAAGACAAAGAGATGTCAGTATAAGGAGAGAGAGATATATATATAGTAGATAAAGAAGTTGTTTGCTTGTTTGTTTGTTCTTATTTTCAATTAATGATACCGAATTGTTGCTAATACAAAAGAAAGAACATTAAATACAAAAAATCAATATATTGGGAAATGAATCATATTTACTTGAATTCAACTATATTGTACAACTTGTACAAAACTTGGCACAAGAATATAGTTTTATTCTTTTTGTTGATGTTGGTGGTGTTGATGTTGTTGTTTACAAGTAGTAGTGATCGAAACTACATATTGCAAGATAAATGTGAATACATGTCAAGGCCAAAGAAGAAGTGTGTGTGTGTGTGTGTACGTGCGAGATATATGTATATGAGTAAACGGAAAGAGATATGTAACAGGTTGCTTTGTGAACTGATCCCTCACTTTGTTTGTTTTTTTAATGTTGGGATATGAATGAAACAAAACGAAAGACAAACAAACCATAGATATACATAAACATATATATATGTAAATATACCAAGAAGAAGAAGAAAAAGAAGACTTAATCAACAATTCATGATAACCAATTGTGATGATACATTCTTTTGGTGTCTATTTATTATTCACAGTATAGGTTATTCTTAGTAGTCCATTTAACTTCATTATCATGATCAATATTAGTGTTTTGTTTCTAATTGTCAGGTTGATCGATTGTCCAAAGTAGTAGTTGTAGTATTACTACTAATCATGGTAGCAGTAGTATAGATTTTGGATAAATGGTTCACATGTAATAGTAATTGAGTTATTGTTGTTGTTGTTTTTTGTTTGTTTGTTTGTTTTGTAATCAAACTAAGATGAATTCACAGAAAGAAAAGAAACTACATTTAGTGTACAGGATGAGCATACACAAATATTAATCATTGAGTTTATAGTTGTTTAAATAAATAAATAAATAATTAGGTATGTATAATGTGTGTGTGTGTGTGTGTGTGTTTTAAATACAGATCACTAACTAATGAAAGACAAGTAAATTTATGGAACAAAAAGAAAAGAAAAGAAAGAAAGAAATAACAATCAATAGAAGCATTGACTGAAGGGAATTTTATTCTCACGGTTATATACTATTCCCGAAAGTTGACGTTACCGTAGATGATGATGAGGAGGAGGATGATAATTGTGTTGCACTTGGATTTGTATACTGCATCAAGTAGGCTAGTGTAGAAGAGGTTAGAGAATATGAGAAATAAAATTAATACATTGACTGATAATGAACAAATTAACTTATATGATGAACAGTTGAAAAAAAAACACGGGGTAGTTGTTAAGTATGAGACTTCAGAGACAGTAATATTCTCACAATTCCTCATGGGAATAAACTCAAAGATATTAAAGTAAGAATGATATCTTAAGATGTTTCAAACTAAGTTAAACCAGTTGTCCAATATGTGATCGGAATCGACAAGGATTCATATTGACTACTTTAATAAATCAGCAAACATACATAATACAATCAAGTAATTTTACAAATATTTCTAAACTAAAATTCTGATTAGATATTTCACTGAGACCCCAGTAACAAAACTAGACTTTATGCATTTTTCAACCTTGTTAATCAACCAGTGTTACAATCTTCATATAACTTCATAATTCCACTTCAATAATTAAGAATCTTAATTGACCAATGGACCTAATCTATGTCGGGTAGAGACAGGTATCTACCTCAGTACAATGAAAGATGGTTGCTCAATTTCGTGGATTAGTTGGGGTTAGACATTAACACTGTTGAATGCCGGCTGGCTCAGTGGTCTACAAGTTAGGCATTCGCGCGTGAGACCGAAGGCCCTGAGTTTAAGTCCCATAAGCGGGGTCGTGGATGTGCACTCCTGAGGAGTCTGGCAATAGGACGGGACGACCGTCCAGTGCTACCAGGTTTTCGATAATGGCCTAGCATTAATCAGTTCATGATCTCGATCGAAAACTTAATAATCTCCACAACGCCATACTGATCACAATTGATATGGCTGATAATCGGTTTAAAATATCGCACAACATGTACACATTCCTTATCTTTTTCCTAAATGTTATCTGTGACAGCCTAATCAGTTTTTTTCCAGCCAACTGTATAACTATTGATAAAAAATCTTCCCATTATGTATCTATTTTAACTGACAATAAATATAACAAAAGTAATTGTTACATCTAAAACGTGGTTGAAAAAAATTACGGTTCAAAATCATTGATAGTTAATCATCACAGAAAAGCCTATTTATGGATATCATGAACCGATTTAAGTTAGGCCACCAGTGAAAACCTGGAAGCACTGGGACCCCTCAGAAGTACGCATCCACGATCCCACATGTAAAACTCGAACCCAGGAACTTCGGTCTCGCGCGCCAACCTCTAGACCACTGAGTCGGTATCCAATAATGTTAGTGTCTAACCTCAATCAGTCCATAACATAGTGTTCAATTAGTAACTGTTTCACATCCGATATAGATTGGCTTCCCTGTTCACGGCTTCTCATTAGAAATTCTGAAATTCCCACTTGAAGCTAGTCACTGGTGATTCTCATACTATGACAAAACAGCCGTCCATTGCTTCCAGGTTTTCAGTGGTGGTGATTTCAATGAAATTAAACAATTTCCACAATCCTATACTGACTATTTATGGATAGTTTTTTTCCTAAGATTCATGACCTATTTCGTATTCCGAATAAAGTGAATACTATTATTCTTGCATGAATAGGCTCCTACTAGAATATTTGCAACTACCGATTTGGCTCAAATTAAAAGTCCGTGGACTTCATAGACTAATATTATATCTTGATTTGGCCACCCTTTAATTACTTTTCTAAATTGCTTCTATGCCACCTAACATTCTGTGTCGAAATAGGTGATTAGGACTTGTGTTAAGCATATCATAAATACTGGTACCGAACATGTTCAAGCTTCAACATAACTCTATTCTATTCTATACTTACCTGCAGATAATTTCAATGGATCTAATCTTTCCGGATTTAAAGTTAGATTACCGCTGTTATTATTATTATTACTATTATTAAATGATTGAAAATTTTGTACATTCGAAAGATTATTCCCATAATTTTGAAAGAATTGTGGATTAAAAAATCGATTATTCATTGTACCATCCAATATTCCTGAATTTGATGAAAGTGACATATTTGAAGAGGATAAATTATTTGTTTTACTTATAGAATTACCATTACTATTCATATTACTAGTACTAGTAGGATTAGTAGTATTGTTCATCAAAGAATTCTGATTAAAATATGATTTAAAAGCTTCCGGTATACAGGAATATGATGAGGCATTTGATGCTAGTGTACTTAAAGCAGCAACTAAAAAGTCTGGTATACCATAATACATACTATTACTACTATTAGTGGTAGTAGTATTAAGATCTACACTCTGATTTGAAGTATTATTTAAACTTGTACCAAGTGGATGAGGATGATTAGACGGAATATATTGTTTTGAATCATTGAATGGTTGTGATGTTGTGGACATTTCATGCATGGATAATGACGGTGTGGACGAACATGGCATAGTGTTTATGGGACTGTTATTAACAACACTGCCCGAAGAAGTAAGTGTTGGCATATTCGAATATGTGGGCAGATATAATGAAGACGGTAAACCATTAGTTAATGAATTCATAGTAGATTTCAATTCATCATCTTTACTATGATTATTATTATTAAACGACAGTGGCATAGACTGTGTGTACGTAGACGAATTTGGCAGTTGAAGATTCCATGCATTTTGGAAAAATAACGATGGGATCATATTATTATTATTAGACAGTGATGTATTAAATTCTTGCTGGTTAACTGTTAAATTCTTCAATTTCGACATTGTACTCATAGTAGTAGCGGTAGTATTCGCTAAAGCATGACACATTGTTAAATTCATCATATAATCATTGTTCAATTCACTTTTTATTGACTGTTGCTCTAAACTACCACAATGATGAGTACCGCCACTGTAACGAGAATAATTCATCACTGTAGAATTATTATTATTATTATTATTATTATTATTATTATTATTATTATTATTATTATTAATATCGGTTTTTATATTTTGATAAGACAATTTATTTGATAAATGTTGTTGTTGTCCCCCTTTATGTTTACTACTGAAATCACGTGGAGTAGTTGATGATGATGATGACGATGATGTTGGAGTTGTTCGCTTAGAGCAGTGAAATGAATTACCATTGTTAGTTTGATGGTTTTGTTGTTGTCCATAATGATGTTGATGTTGATTAGATCGAGAATTTGAATTGCCAGCAATGTCTAATGAACCATGAGGCACTGATACTGTATGCGCTGTTACTGTACGTACATTATTACCATTATAATTACTCAATGAAGTGATATCAATAACTGGACTATTGTTATTAGATGACATGGATGTAGATAAACGTTTCTTATTGCCAGAATGCTTATTTATTTCATTATTCCGTTGTTTACTAACTGAATGTATCACATTATTCATACTATTATTATCATTATTCGTATTCATCATTACATTTATATAATCATTTGATATATTTGTATCAAATAATTTCTGTTCATTTTTATTATACAATTTATAATTACGATGATGAGTAGGCATGTTATTTTGTTGTACATGCATAGACATTGTATCTTGATTATATTCAGATGTTAATTGTGGTACTGGACAACTTTGCAATTGTGGATCATATGGATTGGATTCTTGCTTTAACTGATGCTGCAACGACGATGACGATGATGATAATGATGGCAATAGTGGTCCACCAAATGAATTCAGTAGATCTGGAGTTGTTATTCCTGTTGGTAATGGGGATGAACTGGAAGGCTGACACGGTGAAATAGTTGGTGGACACTTCAAATGTGTTGAACTACAATTCCCTGCATTGCTATTATTCTTATTATCATTAGTACTGGTAGTAGTTGTAGCTGTTGATGTTGTTGTAATACAGCTGGCATTATTGAAATCTCGTTTCTTTAAATCAATACTAGAAGGACGTTTCTTATGAGAATCTAATAAATTACAATGTGATGTATGATTCAAATGGAAACGTAAAGCTAGAACATGTGAGAAACGTTTTTTACAACCATCAATTGGACAACCAATTGGAAATGTTTCATGTAATTCATCATTTTCTTCAAAACAAACACGATCACTACTATTATTATCAGTGTTATTAGTATTCATATTATTATTATTTGTACATAATGGAGTATGTGGTCGAGAATGATCAGGATTTTGTGGATCACAAAGTATTCCATCAGTTTTACCGGTGAAATCTCCAATTTCAGATAATTTCTCAAGATCCGGTAGAACTTCCGACGGACAATCGCTTGACGATGTACTACTACCTCGAAAAAGTTTACGACTTTTATTATGTAACTTAGTTTTTCTACTATTACTACTTCGTGTTAGTTGTTCTTCATCAGATACATGAGGAAGACATTGAGTTAAATCAGTATCCTCTTGAATAGCATTATCATTGATTAATTCTTTCTCAGTATCGATTTTTGTTAGATTATGTGTATTGCAACGATTTGTTGTTGAAATTGTCTCAATCCCATTACTATTATTGACTGCAGGTGAATTTGAAGCTCGACCACGTAATCGATGTCTTCCAGTTGAAGTAGATTTCCAATTACAATCATTAGTTGTAAGATGATTCGTTAAATTTGACTTATAATTTGTTCCAACTCCAGTTCGACGTTTTGTACGATTACTAGATCGTACTGATGATTTAAATGGAGGTACGTAATCTCGTGGACTATAAAATAAATATGATAAATACATGAGTAAATATAAGTATCAGTAGTTATACAACTTAAATATTGAATTGTTCATAGGTTGGAAAAGAATTTCTTCATGGATATGAATAAGGAACTTATTTTTCAAGAATAAAAACGAAGATTACACTGACCAATTATTATTCACTTATCAGTAACAGTAATTTTAATGAAATTCAATTCTTAAAAATGAAACAGTTCTAATAAAGACTACTTATATTTGTCACAGTACAATTCGAACTCTTACACACAACTGGTTGAAGTTAGACATTAACACAGTTGGATGCCGGCTGACCGGCTCAGTGGTTTAGAGGTTAAGCGTTCGCGCACAAGACTGATAGGTCCTGGGGTTCGAATCTCGCGGGGGGGGGGGGATCGTGGATGCGCACTGCTGAGGAGTCCCACGCTAGGACGAAACGGCCGTTTAGTGCTTCCAGGTTTTCTATATTGGTCTAGCTTCAAATGACTCATGGTTTCAACTACTGAAATTAAATAGAACTTAAAAGAATAATTATACGTTACATGTAGACCGATAACACACAGGTTTTATCCCATAGCACACATATATGTATACCCATCTACCTGGGAGTGTAGATTTTCACCACTCCTTTGGAAATGTATTTACTACCCCAGACTCTCTTTTACACATTACAAGCACATCATTTACCCCATGGCTACCGCCGCAGTACTTCTTGACACATACATAAGCATATGTATTCTCTCAGAGGAGGTTGTTGGTCACCTCTCCCTAGTATTTGCTAACATTTTATTATGTCTTCGACTTGGCACATTAGGCAGACAATATTTTAGCTGTCGTTTCCTTTATACGACACCACACGCACACCCGTTGCATATACCTACATACAGAAATACATAGGTTCGAGGACCTCTGCAATACCTATATATAAACATACACATCAGGAAGGTTAAGTGAGTTTCGAGTGGAACCCGAGTTGGCCCAAGATACAACAGTTGGGTTATCATTCCGATGTCTGTCGATCGCCTAAGTTGGCTAGCAAAACTGCCCCTAGTATTCAGCAACGCCATGAGGAGACCTTAGATCGGATTATGCAACAAAATCTCTTCTCAGTTAAGCAAAAACATAAGACTTGGTTAAACGATCGTGATAGTTGTATAAAATCAAAAATTTTCACTTCATACATAAACTTTTCTAATTGATCTATTAAACTGATTAATTATGGATAGTTCTGTTGAGATGACAATCATCTAGATTCGTGTATTTATTGAACATATTTGTCTCTCATTGATTCACTCCTATTAACTAGAATGCCCCCAAATGCCCTGGTACGGCCGAGAGTGGGGAGAGTCCGCTCTCCCTCTCGAAATGGTCTCACATGACCACGCGTATACAGCCTCTGCCGGGGAAGTCCTGCTCACTGCCTTCTCGTGGCGCGGTTGTTGTTTACGAAATTGAGAGGACGAAAAGCGAATGTCCGGTGCTTTAACCGGATTCCAAACCAATGGTGCACATGGGCTCCAGTATCCTGAGAGAACAAATGGTGTATGAACCAATTTTTGGTCACCGGCTACCATGAGACTACATCTCCTCACGGTGCTCCACTGCCTTGTGGATCAGACCTTAGGGTCAAAGGCTCGGGGTGTGGCCCCCCTAAGATAACCACCTTCTTCGGTTTGGGCACCCGGGCAGTATCACGGCCCTCACACAAATCGAATGATTTATGTGGCGCATATCTATTTAGTGCCTCCTTGTACCAATATCTATGTGTTAAAATAAATAATAAACTAGAACAGTTTGTCATGTACAATACACTGTACACAGATGGGGACAATCAAATGTATTTCAATACAACATTGCCGAATATGTTGGTAAATCTCAGAACTATATAGTAATACGTCATCTGCAAAATATTCATCAGTTGTCTCGGACTTTGTTGCTCCTTCGTTCCCATATCAATCACTCTCTGTCCTCGTTCTCTTCAGTTTTTTTCAACCTTCTGCTGTTAGGCATTCCACTTTCGATTGATGATACATACCACTTATATCTGTTGACATCAGTAGTACATACAACATTACTACTGCCTCTACTGATATTTTAACTTATATTAATTTTTCTATGGAATCTAATCTTTCTTTTTTGGATTAGATTATTAATTTTCTAGAAATGACAAAATTGTCATGTCAAACTAATTAGTAATTAAGAGTAATCAATATTAACTTACCATGGTGGAGCGAAATCATGTTGTGTTGCATCTAACAAAGTACCAATATACGTTCGACCTCTCCATGTCACATTGACAACTAATACTCCTTTGAAAAAAAAAGAAACATGAAGATGAAGTAGGGAGAAAAAAATTAGAAATAATTTCTTTCGGAAAGGGGAATTTTTTAAAACAGTGACTAAGTGACACACCTACATGAAGTAAAAAAAAACAATTATGTTCAGTATGGGGTTATGGAGATGGTTGAATTTTACTGAAATCATGTTAGACTACCACTGAAAACTTGGAGGTATTGAAAGGCCATTTCACTATAGTATGGGACTCCTCAAAAGTATGCATCCACGACCCCACATGTGAAACTCGAACCCAGGAACTTCGGTCTCGCACTCCAACCCCTAGTCCCGGATAGCTGAGTGGAAACGTCTCTGACTGTGAGACTGGATGACTCGGGATCAAATCCGTCAAGGAGCACCAGTTCCCTCAAGATTACAAGTACACCTTGCTGACGAGTGCCAAATAGCATGAAACCCGGCTCCAGGGTTTCCTCTTGACTACCTCCAATTACCATCTTATCTCAAAAACTTTTAGTCCTAAACTTAATTCTTTTTAGATCATTGAGTAGTAAATTATATCAACTTCATTTTGATAAGCTAAAATTGACTTTGCGTCCATTTTAAATATTGTTAAAAGTAATCAGTTAAGTATACTTTCGGCTACAAATTATCTATGGAGTACAAATTTGTGTATGTAGATTTAAGCCCGGGTCCAGGGTTTCCTGTTGACTACCTCCAACCACCATCTAAATCTCAATACATAGTGCCCGCAATGTCGAGTCACCTAGACTGGTGGCCACATTGCAACATGATCGATAGCATTTGATCTGCACTAATAAGGACTAGACAAACATGACATTGATCACCACCCAGTGATCAATCAATTGTGATTACATCTCAGTCCTACAGGAGGTCAGTCGCGGCTCGGATAGCTCAGTGGTAACGTCTCTGACTGTGAAGCTGGGTGACACGAGATCGAATCCGCCAGGGAGCACCAGTTCCCTCAAGATTACAGGTACACCTTGCTGACGAGTGCCAGGTAGCACGAAACCTGTGTTCAGGGCTTCCTGTTGACTACCTCCAACCACCATCTAAGCCTTATCTATTTTTGTGTGACAGTTAGTGATATCACCAAATTCGCCTGGTGAAATTATGTGGAACGGGTTTCAAACCTGTGACTTAGTGATTAAAAACTGAGTCATATAGTTACCAAGTCACTAATCCACTTTGAGATGTATTGAATGTGCATAATTGACCAACATTATCATTTCATAAAATACCAATTTAATTACAATTAAAAAGTAAAATGAAATGAAATCTACAAACGAATTTATATCGCAACCGACTTTTATCATTTCAACAATAATGACTGTTAGTATCCTCTGATGGAGACTTCAAATCTAAAGAGAATATGGTTTGATATATCGGTGTTACTGAAGTTGAATCATACAAAGATGAATATTCATCTAGGTAAAGGATTGAAATTAATTTCTTTTGGCATACGTGAATTCTGTGCGGACTGCCTGCATATTGTCATTAAGTTACAAGTCTTCTTTTAATGACGCTAAATAGAAATCAGTAGTGGAATTCAAGATGACTGTTCCATCTTATTTCAGGGTTCATCATATGGGTGTTCTTATATTTCGCTGTTGATGTTCACACCAGGACTTGAACTCAATACCTTCCCCTCCAAATGCCTATCAATTTATTCATTGAGCTATTGAGTCCATATAACCACTAACGACAGGTACTTATGCCTGTTACCCTTCGTGGAGGAGCATAGGCCGCCCACCAGCCATAGAACTAATATGTCTTAAATAAGATGAAATGCTCTATCTGTTAGTCACTATACAACATTAGTAAGACGAAATGTAACTAGTGGAGCTAATCTGTGCCAGGTAGAGATAGTTATAAACCCCAGACAATGAAAGATGGTCGAGCAATTTCGTGAATTGGTTAAAGTTAGACATTAACATTTAGATGTTGTCTCCCTGACCTAAAGTTTAAGCGTTTGTGCTCGAGACAGAAGATCCTGAATTCGAATCTAGCGAACTGAATCGTGGACATACACTGCTCAAGAGTTCCATACCAGTTTAACATCAATCAATTTATGATCTCAATCAAAAGATAAAACATATTTTTCACAATAATAAGAGCCCATTACAACACAATAACATTAAAATAACTCAGTTGTTTTTATCAATTATGTTTTTATGTATCGACTACTTCATTTATGCATATTTATTAATAACATGTAAGTAAAAATAAGTTTAGATACAAACCATACAAATATACACTACAAACACAATACTTATACA